GTAAACATCACCATCAGCTAAGAGCTGGCCAAGAAATTTACAAAGGAGCAAAGTTATAGGATTAGTCTTCTACATGTTTACTTTATTTGAATGTTGGAGCCACTCATGATGATTTGTGCTCCTAATTTATAGTTTATTTGTTAAAAGTTAAAGGAGAGTGGGTATTCGTGTGGCTTTCACTGATGTTCACTCTGGCATCCTTTAGCGTTTTTCGTTTTTAATTTGATAATCGTAGGTCATTAGCACGCCTATCGAGTTTGCCCTTACGTGGTGGGAGTTCAAACACACAAAGACCCACTATCGGCACAAAACCATTCTCGCTAGTTTGGAATAGGCTGCCATGCTTTTTAACGATATTGCAGCATGTATATTCACTATGGAATTCAGATACAATTTGCTCATGTTCTGCTATGGTATTTGATCGAATCCTAATTACAGTGACCTCTTAATTAGCTCAATGTGTGCTTTGCCCTCACGTGCACACTGTTTATTATTTGTAAGGTGCCACTATGTGTACTGACATCTAGAGTTGTTGAAAAGCTGAGAACTGGAAACAGCCTTTCTTCCATTTTCTGTGCATTGCAAATGGGAGAAATAACATTTTTGGGAGCTTTTAACATCTCACAGAAGAGGAAAGTGGCCTGCTCTGGCAGGTATGTGCAGAATGGAGTATTTCATTCGTTCCCATACCAAGAATGAGCGCTGTGCTGTGGCAGTTCTTTTAGGGTTTTTCTGTGCCCTGGGTTCATAAAGATAATGCATCATGAGCTGCGGCAGCTGTACATAAAAAGGGATGATCTCTGAAGATGAAAAGCCTCCCATTTTTGACTGTGGATGTGGAAAACCTTTCCTAGCTTAGAGCATTTATATCTATAATACATTGTAAAGTCAGAGTTTATGTTTTAATGACATGACTCTAAGTTTCAGTACACAAAAGGGCACTGGTTGGCATTCTTCTTAATGTATTTAGTAAAGATCATAAGAAATCCTTTAAGATAAAGTGTAATATATATATATATGAATGGAACTTTGTATCATAGAGTGGATAGGCACTAAATATTGATGACTGAACAGTTAATGTCTTAGGACACTTGGTATAGTGCCTTGCACACAGAAAGAGACCACGGATGAGATTATCCGTTTGTATCATTTCACAGTTTTAAAAATTGGTATTTATTACAGTTCATATAGCAAGTTGCTGATAAAATGTCTGTTTTTATAAAACATCTCCAACAACAACAAAAAGAAATCCTTTAAGAGTTTAAATATCCAGAAAAAGAAAAAAAAATTTTAATAAAAATTTTAAAAAGTGTAAATGTCCCTGGAACAGACATACAGGTTGTAGTCAATAATGGACTAGAGTGCAGGAAAGCCGTGTGACACCTGGCATCCCTCTGTGTTCATGGAGCTTCTTTGAGCCTACAAGACTGATTTGACCATCCAGACTAATCTGGCTAATACCTATTCTTCAACCACCTTGGTTACTCTGACATAGGAATTGCCTTCGTTTTCTTCAATAAAAAGGACTTTAAACAATAATCACAAACAAAAAATAATAATCACAGGCATTATTATAAACTAATACATGTGAGAGTACTTGGCTGAAACAAAAAGGAGTCTCAGTAGGGAGAATTGTACTATATTTGAAAATCGTTTATGCAACTTAAAATGTTTATAGACTGCAGTGCCATCTACTGTTTGCGAATGTCAACGTATTATCAGGAAAAGTGTCTGTACAATCACAGAGTTTTATTGCCTCACCAAGTTCTTTACCAAGAGTGAAATATGTTTTGATATCTTTCGGTTTCAGTTAGAGGCATATTTTGTGCAAGATTTCTGTTAATGTGCCTCTACATTATGAATGAATTATTTCAGTCAGACATTGCCTAAATCATAACTTTATGATGCTTGGGACAGAATCAACAGTTGAGACTTCATGAAGTGCTAATGTCTGTGTGCCAAAATACGTCCCATTGTTAGGATGGAGGGACATATGTATGTGTGCTCCCTGAAGTGGAGATTCCTAGTAACTGACCATCTCCATGTTTAGCATTTGGCATCTTCATGATACTTTCATAAATATGACATTAATAGGAGATCATTAATATGATTTTACAGATGGAATAACACATTTCCCTGCATTCCCTAAAAGAGTACAAATATTAGGTCCTGGTGACTTGAACTAACTCTTCCAAATTGTAGGAATTTATCAAAGTATCAGATAAACGCAGTTTCAGAATGATCAAGGAAAACTGTTAGACCAAATAATGCGGCAGATTAACAGTGGTAAGATTTCTAGCCCGGGGGTTTAAAATGGACTTAAAGTTCTGATCTGTGTTTTATGCCCGAACTTGCCGCTTTTGCATTCTTTGAGTTCAGTTTAAAGACAGTTACTCTAAGTCCATTTTCAGCCCTCAGGCTAGAAATCGTACCTCTGAAAATGGACTTAGAGTAACTGTCGTTAAACTGAACTCAAAGGATGCAAAAGCAGCAAGTTCGGGAATAAAACACAGAACAGAACTTTAAGTCCATTTTAAACCCCCGGGCTAGAAATCCTACCACTGTTAATCAGCCATATTATTTGGTCAAACAGTTTTTCTTGATCATTCTGAAACTGCGTTTATCTGATATGTTGAGAAATTATTTCAAAGGGGTTTTGATAGTTCAAATCACTTCACTTTTACCCTAAGAAATAGAAATGACTAGGGATGACCTTCAGATAGTGTTTAGCATCTGTACCCAATCTGACAATCATGCGTTCATCAAGTACCTATGGAGTAAATCACATACAGGCATATTTAAGCTGAATGTCAGACTGGAAAATACATTTACTATAGTAACTGAAATATCACTCTGTGTAGGTATTTTGTCATCTATTTAAGAAAAAACTAAAAAGAATGGAAATCATATGACAGTGACTTAAGTCTTTCTTCAAAGTGCATGCAAGTCCTTTGCAGTACTTCATTCAGCCAAGTATTTGTTCTCTTCCTCATTCAGTAGAAGGCAGCTTTCAATTTGCTTAGAAGGCAACATCAGAAGGTTAGCATTCATCAAAAACATAGACTTTTATTTTGTTTTCATATTTGTGTATGTTTATTTTAGATAACTGAAACTTCACAGAATTTAACAACAAATAAAGTTTAAAAATTTAATTCTGTACATTAGCTCCCACTATCTCTATTTTACAATCTATAAGGCTCATGCCATAGTTCAGCACCAATAAGATCCACACAAAACTGTTTAAGCAATCTTCTTATCCATCCTGTGTGATAGTTTTTGTTTGTCGTGGTTGTTTTTAAGGTAAAAGTCCTACTTTCAGACCTTGAAGTGGAATCCCTCTAGTCAGAGTACAAAACTTGGGTTGTACCTTCTTATTTTCATTAAACAGATACAAAAAAAAAAAAAAGAAAAGGAAAAGAACTGTGTTCCACCATTAATTTAGGTTGTCAGTCTATATGTTGAATTTATAACACTGATGCATGAGAAGTAACCTACTAATGCCCTGCCCCTATTCTTCCCCTCCATTTTAAATTTTTAAAAAGGCAACCAGAAAAATGATTCATTTATTCTTTAAAATAAAGTGCAAAGAAGGATTACAACAACAAACGTCCTCATCCACACCTCCAATAACAGCTCAGTATTTAGCATAATCTACCATGAG